GCGGAAATTCCATGGCTGCGATGCCCCAATTAGCCTCTGTTTGCACTTTTTTCTTGAATATGGCGCCGCCAACTCCGCGAAAGTTGTTGATTCTTGATTTGCGCAACAGAGAGACAGGAAAGGGCATAGCAATGTATTTCACCAAAATATGCCATGCCTCGATCCTCCGTGCCACCAATCACGCCCATATCGATTTGCATGATGGCCGAGGAGCGGAATTGCCGTCAATTCAACTTTGATAGAATGAATGTACATGAAAAACACAAACAAAACCTAACTCCATTGGATGATCCGGAAGTGTCGGTGACTGGGGGAATTGAGACGTGTTCCGTCACTCGGAGTACGAAACGGCACTCGTTTCCCGCGCCGGGCTAACTCTATTCGAACACAATGCAATATGCATGACAGTGCATGAATGCAAACTAAGGATACAGCCTAGCATGCAACAATGCTATGAAAATGAGATGCCTCGAATGCGCTGCACACGGGTACGCAAATCGAGGAAATAACATGAATGTGATCTAAGAACAAACCTAGTATGGCACTATGCTGTGAAAATGAGATGCCTCGAAATGCGTGACACGGCACGCAAACCGGAAAAATGACATGACGCAAGCAAATGACATGGAAATATTGATTATGGGCTTACACTAACATGAGAGAGCCTCAGCCACACTCACAGTAAGAGGCCGTAATGATGAAATGAATGCCTCAAATGCCTGACACACCGGCACGTCCAGACCGTAGGCAATGGCATAGCAAGCAATATGGCTAAAAGGCAATAGAATGCAACATGGACTTAACTAACATGAGAAGAGCCTTCAGCCACACCACATAAGATGGCCGATGATGAAATAAGTGCCTCGAAATGCGCACACAGGCACACAAACTGAGGCAATGGCATATGCAATGCAACAGCATGGAAAAGATATGCAAACAGCTAAGGAATTTCAGCACTGAAAGGGGGGAAAAACAGCCCCGAAATGGGCGAAAGACACCCAATGCAGAATCTCTCCCAAAGCAAAAATTAGGCACATAGAATGAAACTACAAGCTATACAAAGGCATGCATTAATTGGTACATGAATGAAAAAGACAGAAGTAGCAAGGCAGCCCCAAAATTAGCATTTTTACAGTTCAAAGCATGGCCAAACAGCAAACATAAATAGGGCAAAACTAGCATGCAAAAATGGCCCTAAATATGAGACAAAGAAGCAACTCACAGCTGCTGACCCCAAACAGGTTAGGGGCCTTCTACAATATTGAAGAGGGGCCAAAAATATGATGTTTTACAGAACTGTAAAAACCCCAAAAACAGACACAAGTATGCTCAAAATGCTATGCAAGATAAGGCCCAAAAGAGGTTACAACGCTAAGTATACAAAATATGCCCCAAACAGAAAAATATTCTTAATGAAACATGACAAGGGGGTCAAAATAATACCACTTTCAGTTCGAATCAAGGTCCAAAAACAAAAACACCATAGGCTAATAAATCATGCAAAAAAAGGGGGGAAAGAGGGCTACAATGGCAAGTGGCATATGGAAATATCAAATGGTGATGAGCCCTTCAACAATGTTGAAGAAGGGCTCAAAATAAGCACACTTACAGTTTATAACATGCCTCAAAACAGATCACACACAAGCCAAAAATATCATGCAAGAAAGATGGCATACAAGAGGGTAATGAAGCAAGTGCAACAAGGAGGTCCCAAATAGGGTAAGACCCTTAATGAAAGATGAAAATAAGCTCAAAATATGGCTACTTTCAGTTTTGGTCGGAGCTCAAATGTATAAGCAAGAAGGGCTAAGATATAGACCAAAAAAAAAGCAAAAAAAGGGAAAAACGAGACTCACCCTTGAAGACTAGTCTTTAGCAACCTCTTGGCTTGAGAAAAAGATGCTCCTTGCCTCTGGAAATGACCTCCAAACTGCTGGTATGGAGTGGTGGTGGTGGTGCTAGGTGGTGGTGAAGGAATGGTGAAGAAATGGTGTAGGGGACTTGGAGTTTTGATGGTTGGAATATAGAGAGAGAGATATATATATATATATATAATATAGGAGCTCTAAACAAAAATCTCTAACCCTTAATACAGACCTGGGGTGCTGTATATATAGGCAAAAGGGGTGGAAAAATGGGGGAAAAAAATGGAGGGAAAACAATCCAAGTTTCCCTCCAAAAAAGCCAAAAAGTGGGATATAAAGGCAAGTGGTAGCTGCTGGACCCAAATGACCGAGAGCCCTTCAACAAAGTTGAAGAGGGGCTCAAAACAAGACACTTTGTAGTTTATGACTAAGTCCAAAACAGCTCACAAGTAAGCCTAAAATACCGCGCAAAAATAGGCCTAAAAGAGCGTTAAAGAAGCAAGTGATAGATGGAGATGTCAAACATCAAGAGGTCCTTAATCAAACATGAAAAAAAGCTCAAAATATGACTATCTCAAGTTCGGGTCAAAGCCCAAAAATGCAGAATGAAGGTTCGGGAGCCGAAACACGCAGTTCGGGGCCCCGAAAGTGGACTGTTAGGCATCGGGAGTGGTGCTCAACCACGAAGTTGGTCTCTCGGACCACAGTGTCCCTCGAAAGGGAGTAAATAAGATGCATGTCAAAAACCGGAGCAAATGGAAGTGGTTAGGCGGTCCCGAACCGAGGCACACGGCCTGACGGCTCCGAAAACCGGGAACCGGGCTCCGAAATGGGAAAAATGGCCTACAGCCACAAAATGTAGCCCACGGCCACTGAGAGATGGTCTATGGGACCTCTCCCCCCCCTCAGGAAAAGAAACAGAGAAAACCGAGCCTGGTTCGCAAACCGAGGCAAAGCACAAAAGAGTCCGGAAGTCCGGAGGCAAGGCTTGTAACCGAGACTCTAAAACTTCTGGACGAGCACGATATGCAGTATCACCAAGCGCTCAACTGGTGATGTCTGAGTCTCAAGGTTGGTCAAAAATGGGATGTCTACATACGCGGGGGGCAGATCACTTGCCCATAGGGCCATTACGCAGGGATATTGGTGGCCCTACATGCAGAGAGATGCATAAGCCTATGTGAAGAAGTGTGAAAAGTACCAAAGGTTTGCACCTCTGATATATCAACCAACAGCAACTTGCCAGGGCTTTTTTTTTTTTTTTTGGATGAATAAGTCATAAAATAAAAACAAAAACTTACACAAAATACAAGGGCATGCCCCAGGCCCTAACAGAACTATACAATAACCAATAAAAATTGGACAGCAACAATGTAGACCCATCTCAGAAAGGATGAGGGCCCACAAGGACCAAAACAAACAACCTGCTAGAACATCAAAAACTTTAACCAAAACCTAATAGAAATATGTGCAGAAGCAACAAACAACACCCTAAGCAAAAGAGAATTAGCTGATGTAAGGAGAATGTTCATGGGCCCCATAGACAAAGGTCAACCCAAGGGAATTTCAAGTCGGCGACATGGTCTTAAGAAAATTCGTCGGCAACAAAAAGGATCCCAGAGAGGGTAAGCTTGGCCCAAATTTGGAAGGACCCTACAGAATCACTTCGGTATTGGGCAATGGGGCATATCGGCTTGAAGATAATGAGGGCAAAGAGTTGCCAAGACCCTGGAACACTTGTAATCTGAAGTTTTCTATCATTAGATTTTCCTTGTTTTTTTTTTTTTTTGCCGAAACAATGAATAAAATTTTAGCATAATTCTTCTACATCTATGACTACTCGTCGATGTTTCTAGAATAGATGTGAAATGAGAACCCAAGTGAAACTTAAGTTCACATTAGGGGGCAGAGAGTTGGAAAACAGTTCTAACACTTGTTGAAACTTAAAAAGTTTACAAGTTAAAGTTAAACCGAGATCATGTTTAACACTTGTTGAAACTTGAGAAAAGTTTACAAGTTGAAGTTAAACTGAGATCATGTTTAACACTTGTTGAAACTTGAGAAAAGTTTATAAGTTGAAGTTAGACCGAGATCATGTTTAACACTTGTTGAAACTTGAGAAAAGTTTACAAGTTGAAGTTAGACCGAAATCATGTTTAACACTTGTTGAAACTTGAGAAAAGTTTACAAGTTGAAATTAGACCGAGATCATGTTTAACACTTGTTAAAACTTGAGAAAAGTTTATAAGTTGAAGTTAAACCGAGAAAATTTTACAAGTTGAAGTTAAACCGAGATCATGTTTAAGACTTGTTGAAACTTGAGAAAAGTTTACAAGTTGAAGTTAAACCGAGATTATGTTTAACACTTGTGGAAACTTGAGAAAAGTTTACAAGTTGAAGTTAAACCGAGATCATGTTTAACACTTGTTGAAATTTGAGAAAAGTTTACAAGGTAAAGCTAAACCGAGATTATATTTAACACTTGTTGAAACTTAACAAGTTTACAAGTCGAAGTTAGACTAAGGTTAAATACTTGTTGAAATTTTATGAAAAAATTTACAAGTTGAAACCAAGGTCACGCCAAGAAAGGCACTTGGGTACTTGCCGAGGTAAATCATCAGTTTGTACAACCGAGGTGTGTCACCCCGAGAAGGTTACACAAGATTGAAGTGTACATTAAAGATATGCAAAATATTCTAAGTGTGGAATCATACAAGAGTAGTAAAGAGAAGGCAAACATACAAACATTCAAAACAAAGAAGTTGTATTTATAAGAAGGCACTTCGGCCATATGAAGAGCTTACACTGTTTCAAAAGAAAGACAAAAGTACAGAGCACAGAAGAAAGAGAAAAACATAAAATTAAGATTCTTCAACATCATTAGTAGGCTGGGTTTGGACTTCAGAGGACTGCTGAGAAGACATCTCGGCAGCCTTCTCAGCCGCAAGCTCGGCGTCAATTTCTTGAAGGGTTAGATCGAGGCTCTTGTCGGCAAGGGGCACGACCGATAACGCCTTCTTAATAGTGGCATCCTTGGGGACTTCCTCACCCTCCTCATCTTGAGTCAAGTCCAGAACTTGCTCATTCAGAGAAGGGGACTTGGTCCCAGCAGCCTCCTTTGATTTCCTCACTAACGTCTCCTCCTCAGACTTAGATTCGTCGTCGGATTGACTTGGAGTTGGAGGGAATGGAAGAGGAATGACGTCGGCATTCTTGAAGGGCGAGTCCTCGGGTACTTCAAGCTTTTTTAGAAGAGACATCCAACCAAGGGTGAAACCCTTGTTACATGCCTGCTTCACTTGCTTTTCATAGTCTGCCGTGACATCGACCACCCCCTCGTTATAGCCCTTCTCATCGGCGGCCTTGACTTCGGCCTCTTTCATGGCCAGGGCTTCTTGTAGTTCCTTCTGGGCCTGGGTCATCTTTTCTTCGGCCTCTCTTTTTTCGGCCTCAAGAACCTTCTTAATGGCCTCGGCGGATTCTGCTTTTTCTTCGGCGACATTTTGGGCCTTGATAGCAGCCTCGGCTTGATCCTCCAAGGTCTTCATCTTGGATTGCAAGCTTTTATTAGTCTTTTGCAGACTGGCAACTTCTCCCTTCTTATCGGCCAGCTCTTTTCGGTTCTCAAAGGATTGTATTTAGAAGGAATGAGCATGTTGGATGGCCTAAAAGTGAACAAGACAAAAGTTATTAAAAATTTTCCAAATACAAGAAAGAAAGAAAAAAAAAAGAAATGACCAAATAAAGACACTTACTTGGACAGAGCGCTGGAGCATCAAAGCATAGTTGTCATATTCACTTAACTCGGCGTTTCGATCGAGATCGCTGGGAAGAAGCAGAGCAGTACTAAGGGCAACGCCGACATTAATGTCATCAGCGCTGTCGCTAGCCCTAATTGGCTTATCCTCCAGTGTGATTTGGGGGGCCCAGGAGGAATCCTGCTTTCGAGACCCCGATGTGGTTGTAGCGGATGACCTCGGCTTCTTTGATTTTAGGGATTCAGATGGTTGGGCCTCGGCTAGCCTCTTCTCGGCAGCAGGTGTAGTTCTCTCGCTCGAAGCTAATTTCGAGATTGGCAAAGTATCTTCAGTGTCAATTTGAGTCACCTTTGCCTTTGGCTGAGCCTTCTTGATCATTTTTGTCTTCGGCTTTGGCTGGGTTGGCGCTGATTGGGCATCAACTGATTCAGGAATATTGGCCAAAAGATCCTTAGCAACTGCTTTTTGACGGCCCATTTCAGCAGCAAAAACTGTTCGGCGTCGTCGACGGCGCTGGGATATCGGGATCAGATATGGGGCCGAGGTAGATAGCTGCACAGCTAGATCAGAGGTCGATCCTTGATCTGCCCGAGATGAGGAGGCAGCTTGAGGAGTTGTGGCAGAAGGTGGAGACAGACTCTTCTTCTTCTTCTTTGGAACGTCAGAAAGAGCCGACTGTAGACACCCCATTTTTGACCGACCTTAAGACTCAGACATCACCGATTGAGCACTCGGTGATATTGCATATTGTGCTCGTTCTGAGGTTACGGAGTCCCGACTGCGAGCCTTGCCTCCGGACTTCCGGACTCTTTTGTGCTTTGCCTCAGTTTGCGAACCAGGCCCTGTTTTCTCTTTTTTTTTTCTTTCTGAAGGGAGGGAGAGGTCTCGTAGACCATCTCTCAGTGGCCGTAGGCTACGTTTTGTGGTCGTAGGCCATTTTTCCCGTTTGGAGCCCAGTTCCCGATTTTTCGGAGCTGTCGGCCGTGTGCCTCGGTTCGGGACCGCTTAACCACCTCCGTTTGCTCCGGTTTTTGGTACACACCTTATTTCCTTCCTTTTGAGGGACACTGTGGTCCGAGAGACCAACTTCGTGGTCGGACACCACTTCCGGTGCCTAACAGCCCACTTTCGGGGCCCCAAACTGCATGTTTTGGCTCCCGAACCTTCATTCTGCATTTTTGGGCTCCAAACCAAACTTGAGATAGTCATATTTTGAGGTCCTTTTCATGTTTTATTAAGGACCTTTTTTTGTTTGAGATCTCCTCCTATCACTTGCTTCTTTAATGCTCTTTTAGGCCTATTTTTGCACGGTATTTTAGGCTTACTTGTGAGCTGTTTCGGACTTGGTCATAAATTACAAAGTGTCTTTTTTTGAGCCCCTCTTCAACTTTGTTGAAGGGCTCTCGGCCATTTGGGTCCAGAAGCTACCACTTGCCTTTATATCCCACTTTTTGGCCTTTTTGGGGGGAAATTTGAATTTCAATTTCCCCCCCTATTTTCCCCCCTCTTTTCCACCTCTTTTGCTTATAAAACCAGCAGCTCCCAGCTGTGTTTGAGGGTTAGAAAATTTTGTTTAGAGCTTTTTACATACAATCCCCTCTCTCTCTCTCATCCAAGCTCTAAAACCCTAAGCTTCTTGCACTATTTACCCTACAACCCCTAGCCTATCACCACCATTACTCATTTCAGTACCTTGGATGACATTTGAAGAGGTTGAAAGCTCAGATTTTCAGACTAAAAGCTGCTGGAAAGTTGTTCTTCAAGGGTGAGTCCCTATTTCCCTTAAACTTGCACTTTTTTGCATGATTGTTTAGCTTTACTTGCAAGTATTTTTGGACTTCGATCCAAACTGAAAAAGATCATATTTTGAGGTCATCTTTATGTTTGATTAATAACTTTTTTCTGTTTGATGTCTTCTTCTCCCCCTTTGTTCTTTACCTCTCTTTTAGGGCCTATTCTTGCATGATATGTTAGCCCTGTTTTTAAGCATTTCTGGGCTCCGATCCAAACTGTAAAGAAGCTTATTTTGAGCCATTTTTCAACATTGTTGAAGGGCTCATCACTGTTTGAGGCCTCATTTTGGCACTTGCCTCTTTATCCCTCTTTTGGCCTCATTTTTGCATGATTTGTTAGCCCCTTGTGGTTATGTTTTTGGACTTTGGTCTGAACTGAAAATGGCCTTATTTTGACCCCCTCTCCATGTTTCATTAAGGGCCTTTTGCTATTTGGGGCATCCTTTTTATACTTTGTGTTTAAACCTCTTTTTGGCCTTGTTTTGCATAGTATTTTGAGCATGCTTGTGCACTGTTTTGGGTCTGATCATAAACTGTAAAATGCCATATTTTGGGCCCCTCTTCCACATTGTAGAAGGGCCCTTCTCTGTTTTGGGTCAGCAGCTGTCACTTGCTTCATTAGCTTGCTTTCAGGGCCATTTTTGCATGCTAGTTTAGCCCCATTTGTGTTCATTGTTTGGTCTTGATTAAAACTGTAAACATGCTTATTTTGGGATTTCCTTGAATCTGTCTTCATGCTTCATGATCAAATAGTGCATGTTTTGTATAGCTATAGGCCATTGCGCATGCCTAATTTTGCATTTCGGGTACCATTTCATGCATCGGGTGCCATGTTTCCATGATTCGGGACTTTTTTGGGTCATATTTTAGCACTGAAATTTGCATGTTCGCATATCATGTTCCATGCCTTGCCATGCTTTGGTAGAGTGGCATTTGTGCCTTAGGGTCGGTCCTCGATTTGCGTGCATGTGTGCACGCATTCCGAGTTGTCTCATTTTCATCTCATGGCCTCTTATGTGAGTGTGGCTGAGGTCTACTCATATTAGTGTAAGTCCATTGTGCATTGTGTATGCCATTTCATTTCATAGCATTGTGTATGCTAGGTTGTATGTTAGCGCATTGTGTATGCCATGTTACCTCGTGCATCGTGTATGCCATTTCATAGCATTGTTCATGCTAGGTTGTATATTAGTTGCATTCATGCATCTCATGCATATTGCATTGTGCTTGGGGTAGGAGTTAGCCCGGGCACAGGAAACGAGGTACGTTTCGTACTCCGAGTGACGGAACGTGTCTCAATTCCCCAGTCACCGACACTCCGGATTATCCATGATGGAGTTAGGTTTTAGTTGAGGTTTCATGTGCATTCATTCTATATTGAGTAATGCATATCGATTCCTCGGCCATCATGCATCGATATGCGTGATTGGTGGCACGAGAATCGAGGCATGCATACATCTGTGAAAATACATTGCTATGCCCCTCTCTTGCTCTCTGTTGCAGCAAATCAAGAATCAGTAGTCTTCCGGGGCTTGGCGCGCTTTCCAAGAATAATTGCAAAACAGAGGCTAATTGGGGCATCCCAGTGGATTTCTGCGCAAGGTAGCCCAAACATACATCATTCATCAAAGTCAAGGCAGTCCCTGGCTTGCATGCTAGTTTATAGCTTTCCTAGATTAATTTGTAAATTAATTAGGATTTTTGTATTTATTGGGACTGTATTATTTATTCATTTGGGACTGTATATTATTCTTTCGGACCCTCTGCGCGAAGGCAATATTGTAATAAGTGTGTGTGTGTGTGATGTATATCTTCCAACCCCACATCTTTCTTCCCTTTTATTTACCCGCTTATGATGGTTAGATTAGGGCATATTTCAATTAGCATACAGTATGATAGCATGTTTGCATTCATTCATTTGTTTTGTATGCACCGGGCTCGGCGCATCATACTAACTGCATTGTATTTTTAATTCCAAGTTGAATACATGTTAGTTGTTGCACCTCATATGCCATGTTTAGAATAGCCGAGCCTGCTATAGTTGCATTCTTGCATGTGTTGCATTAGGCATTTCAGCATATTTAGGATCATGCATGGATTTCTAATTAGCTTTTGTTTTGGCTTGGAGTACTCGGTGAGTTTTATACTTTAGCATCCTTGCATGTGTGTGAGTGACTGCCATGAATAGCATGCTTACCATGAGGCTAAATGCTTATGTGATATAACTGCCTGAATGCCTGTGGGTGAAGGTTGGGTTATTTGAATTGGAACAATTCGTTGACTGTAAGTTTTAAGCCCACTAGATAGTGGCAAAATCATGTTTTCTAAGCGCACCCGAGGGTGGCAAATCCACGTCTTAGCCTACTTGCGGGTAGCACCATCAAACCATTTTCAAATAAACAAATAAGAAATGTTATGTTCCAATTCAGGCAACCCAGTCTATACTTGTATGCTGTGCGCATCACATAGTAAATCTAGGCTAATAACCGGAATAAGAAAACACAATGTTTTTCAAAACTAGATATCATGGTTAGTAGAGGCCGATCTTTGATCGGGCGAGCGGGGGTGCTCACGAAGTGACCTTCCCCAATCATACCCAAGTTCCCAAGCCGAGGCAACTTTGTGATGACGGACACGTGGCCTTAGGCAAACGAGTCAGGGTTTCCTAAATTTCCCCAAAATAAAATATTTAGGTGGCGACTCTGTATCTGGCAAAGCAGTCCATGTTTGGCACTTCTTTCAAAATCTGTTTTCTCAAAACGATTTGCCAGATTTGGACTCTTTGGTTCAGATTATGAACCGTGACAATTTGAGAGTCCGAGCTGTAGTGAACCCCAAATGAACAGAACGAGACTCACCCTCTCGGGGCGTTCGGGGACGTCTACAGTTAGACGTCCCTGAACACCCTGGGGAGGAACGAGTCCCCCCATTCCGTTCGATAGTGGGCTCACTACAGTTCAGGACTCAAATGTCACGGTTCTTAATCTGAACCAAAGA